TCACGCTCTCTCTCTCTCTCTCTCTCTCTCTCTCTCTCTCTCTCTCTCTCTCTCTCTCTCTCTCTCTCTCTCTCTCTCTCTATGGCTATATATATATATACATAAAAAACATATATAGTACAGGAAATAGAGAAAATGAAAGATTATCAGTCATACAAATGTTGCAGAAGAATAAAAATAATACAATTTTTACGGCAGCGTATGCTCGGTTCAAGAAATCTATTCGATCGCGACCAATGAAATAGTCCTTGCAATTTAAACAACGTTCGAATACACCATCTGAAATCAGTAGCGTTAAATAGAGCAGCCAAGTACGTCATCGAAGCTTGCAACTTATCTAAGAAAATTCTAGCGCAACTCGACACAGACCCGGTTTACCTTCGCGAGACGACTCGCTCAGAGTCGTCTCGGCAGAGAGTTAATTGTTAAAAAATCGGCCAGGAAAAATCGGCCAGTGGAGCGTATTGGCTAGAGGGAAAAAGCTCGCGAGGGTGAGAGAGCGTGATGCGAATAGTTCGATACGCATGCGAGGTAAAGCGTGTGCGCGGGCGCGTACAACAGGGCCTCTTTTCGATCGACGAAGCACCACGACTCGAGGACAACGACAACGACGACGACGAGGACGAGGACGACGACGCCGCCGACGACGACGACGACGACGACGACGACGAGCCACCACGACGTGGCCGTCGACGTCGGCGTCGACCTTCCTGCCGGCTGCAGGGGCCGGCGCGTGTCGGTCTGCGTCGCGACGGTGTCACACACCGGTGTCCGTCGCCGCGCGCCACTCGGTGGGGGATGCAAACGGAGGATCGGTGGGGGGTTCCAACCCTGGTGGTGGCAAACGGAGTGGTGGTGGCAGCAGGCTCGACAGTGGCGACACTAACGTCGTCCGCGATAGCTCACCGTGTGTGCACCGCGCGGCTCGGTGCTACAGTGTACGGGGGCGAGCGAAATCTCGCTCGAGTGCGAGTGGCGCGCGCGATACGTCGGCTTCCGCGGTTTTCTGTTCGGTGAAATCGGCGTCCACTGGATAACCAAGAGCGATCCAAGGAGGAACACCGCGTCGAACGCGTAACCAGGAACGAACGATAGTTCCAGTGGGAAAGTTTTCGAAAGTTCGGCAGAGCGAGAAAACTCGCTCGGCGAGGGTCGAGCGAGAGGGAATGGTACCAGGGAAAGTGTGCCGTATCCTGTGGGATCGGTGTCCTCGGTCCTCCTGAATTAGCAGGCCGCAGGATTCTTGTAGATGCTAGATATTTGGATGATATCGGTACGGTTCGGTTGTTCTCGGGTTCGCAGGATGAAACGAGGAGAGCGTGCGGTCGCGTGCGATCCGGCCGAGGGATGCTGTTGCTCGCGTCCTCGTTGTTGCTGTTGAAGTGATCGGGATCCGTGCGAGTCATCGAATGATTCCGCAGTGATTGATAGTGCGTGTACACCGTGGTAATCCGACTGCGTCCCGGATCGTCGTCGGTTCCGTTTCCGTGGTGATCCATCGAGTCGCCGGCTGGCTCCCGTTCGAACGTGGATCTCTGCTCCGTCAGCGCGATCGCGAGGATCCCGCGAGAAGTTGCTCGATCGTCGAGGCTCGCGACGCGTCGCGAAGCGATGATGCGCGAGACGTGTGCTACGGGCACGCGGGACGAGGTTTGCGGAACCAGGTGCCCGTGAACGAGAAACACGGTGTACAGGTCGCTGGTCGACAGCGAGATCCGGCGGGATCACGATGCTGATGATGCTTGGCGATCGGTTGCTATGATCGAGCCGCGGAGGGTTCACGTGGAACGATCATGATTTACCTTAGGCTGCACGTCGGGAGGAGTCTACGGTGCAATGCGAACGCTAGGCACTGGAACGTGTTCATCGTGCCACTCTTCCCACTCTGGATTATCGGCGCATTCTGCGTGAAAGACAGTGAGTACGATTTTTTTCATTTTCGATCGGTCCTCGTTCGACGTCAGGTTCTCGGATGTCGGAACACGAACCTGATCTCGCGGGGATTGTTCGGATTCTTTTCCGGAATCTAGAACTGCCGCGTTCAAAATGAAAGAGGACTCGATTTTACAGTGCCTCGGTTTGTTTTCGCTGCTTTCGGTGCATTCTTTATTACCTTGATTATCCTGGCATGGTGATTCATTTTATTCAATGATTTCGAATGTCCTCTCAGACTAGTTGCGAAAGTTTTTTTTAAAGAATCTTGCCAGAGATGGATGTGTCGCTACTTTATGGAATAAACAAATAAATGAGGGCATATGATAAATTGCAGGAGTTCATTAGAGCAAGGGGTTAATGAAATCAAAATTGAAATTAACTGAATCTTCTTGTATTTAGCAGAGCCTAAACAAATTTGATACACTGAATATATTAGTGCAGAAATTAATTTTTCATTTCTAATAATCGAAGAAAATAATTTCGATTCCCGTTTATTTGCATATCCATAGATTTTTGAAATTTGTACAGGACATTAATGACGAGTCGCTTTGATCGCTCGGCAGTTCTAGTATTAATTACAGGGTAGGCTTAATTGTGATTTGACAACGTTCCATGTATGTCTGTCACCTCTGTTAGAGGTAATGGTATCTAGCTGAGATATTAAGAAACATGTTTAATTAGAAGTTTAACAATGAATTCGAGTGTTATACGACGCTCGCTTTCTTAGCTTTGTTTCATCTCGAAACGAGTATACGCAACATTTTTCTCTATTGAACAAGAATTTAGGTTTGCGTACATTATACACCGATGCGATTATGAGAACGAAATCAGTGTTTCATAGTTCTCTATTCTTTCTGTAAGCAGACATTTTTTTAAAATTGTGATTCGATTGTAGGTTTCTTTACCTATGAATGTGTGTATAGCAAAATCGTTTTCTATCGAATAGGAATTTAGGTTTCTTATGCTGAGGTGACGTTGACCTCCTTAGAGATCGATTACTCTTTAGTTAACTATAAAACGTTTTGAGATGGCATTGGCGATAATCGACTGCGCTTCTACTTTACTTTTCCTTTCAATTATAGACATTTGCCCTACAAAATATAACGTAATCAAAGGACTGTTAAATACTAACGCAGTAAACAATTTAGAAGTCTAGAAACACTAATCAACAACTCCTAAAATAAAGCGTTAGGTTCTGTCAACCAGCCGATAAAAGTGACTTTTGAAAATATTTTCCCAATAACTGAAGCATGAAATCATTTTATAAACCAAAGAACTTTCCGGATAAAGTGTTACTGTTTTTCATAAAATCGTTTCAAAAGGACTGAGACACTAAACCTACCGAGCTCTGAAATGACTAACGCGTGTTGCTCTATGAGAATGACATTGACACTAGATTTACGAAACCTGTCAAAATGGCGGGTCACTAATTTTTTAATTCACGATTATCCATATCGCAAAGATACATCTATCAGTATCTAAACATTTATTAGTATTTATATTAGAGTTATTTATTCAATTTATATGTTACTTATGGCTAATGTTACAACAACACTTGTTAACAGAACAAGTGTCAGAATAAGTGTCTTATTGTTACTTTTAAAAGCAAATATAAAACAGCTGTTTTTTATGCTCCGCAAGTCTAGCGTTAAATATATTTAGACGTTTCACCATTTTTATTATCTAATCAATCGTTTTTCCCGAACGAGTCTTCGTAACGTTCTTTCATAAAACTGGCACGGTAGGTTCGGAGTTAATCAGCCCCCTGTCTGTCACTGCGATGCAGATTCCTCCTCGTGCATCCTCAGCTCACAAAACCATTAAAACACTAGCCCAACTTCGTGACCGAATTAAATTTAATACGGTGCTTGTTTTGAAATCGAATTCGCAGATGTATTTGCAGTCTAGCCATCGGAAACTCCGCGCAACCATTCCCATGGCGAATCACGTCGTCATGGAACTTTCCCAATCATTAGTCGAGAAGCATCTATCTCCCGGACAGCTTTTCCGGGAGCGGATCAGCTCAGGGTCATCGGAAGGCGAGCCGGCGAAAAGTGTCGTCGCTATCTGGCAGCGATCTCGCCGCTTTTCGAAGTCCTGACGCTCGATAGTCCGTTTCCGTCGACGGCGTCCCGGCGTCGACGACATCTCGATTGTTGCTTCATAGTTGATATTCCGCCGGCTACCCCCCGATAATCTGTTCGTTCTTCGCGTGGCATCTCATTTGCCTGGTCGTCTCGCCCGAGACTTGCTTCGCGAAAAGAGAGAACGCGCCCCCGTAGGAATAGTTTCCCCGGTTGGCCGTAGGTTGCGATTGCTGCGATCCCGAAACGCGACCACGAACTTTGACACTCGTTCGGCCACGCGCTCCTCCGCGCAACAAACTTTTGCTCGCGACGCTTTGACACACGATCGGGCTACTCCTCGGTCCACGAGGCAAATTGGCAACTGAATTTCTAACAATCCCGCGTTAACTCTCGCGACGAAGTCGACGCGACTTCCGCGGCCGAACCTGCGATAGGTCGTCCGTCAGATGCAACCTGAATCGCGTTACTGTATAATGATCGTTCGTTACGATACGTCTTGGAAGCTTTATACGACTGCCCTGAAGAATTCGGACCCGCGTACTTCGTTGATACTTCGGTCTTAATATGTACATTCTTATTATCTTGGTCCAGGGCATTATTATCTTGTCCATAAAAATGGACAATTTAGGATGAGATGATACGATTATTCGAGCCTTGCGGTTCATTTTCATAGTTTCGAATTGTCAACAGCTATAAAAACGAGCTGCAAAGCTCGAATAATCGTATCTCCTCTTCCCAAATAGTTCATTTTTGTAAGCGATCTGAGCGTCAGTTAGGGAGACATTACTGTATTCGAGCATCGCAGTTCGTTTTAATAGTTGTTGACAATCGGCGACTATAAGCGTCTGTCCGAATCTAGACGCTTGGAGTTTGCATATTTCTGGATCTGGGCGAGATAACGTGTAGGATCTCGCGAATCAACAGTCTCGCACTGAATGTGCTTAAACGCTGATATAACAAGTATTACAACAGGCGGGAAACCCTCGTAGCTGTCAGACGCCATGTTGGCAGCAGATCATCGCAGAATATCGGAGACTAAAATTGGGAAAATTTTGAAGGTTGCAGAATCTAGTTTGACGAATTTAAAAGTTACTAATGCTTTGGAGGAACGATTAAAAAAGTACTTATTTGATCAACACAGATTTGATTTATTGTAGCAAATTATGAAGTACCAGAAACAACATTAAGAACGAGCCCTTGTTTAATATTACCGTGGCATCGTTGTAGAGAAGATTTCGAAATGTCTTGTCACCGTGAACTGGAAATTGAAAATGGGAAATATAATAAAGTCTCGCTGATCGAGGCTTATGGAGAATTTCGGAAGAGGAGACACGATTATTCGAGCCTTGCGGCTCGTTATTATAGTTATCGATTGTCAACAGCTATAAAAACGAATAATCGTATGGGCCGCAAGGCTCGAATAATCGTATCCCCTCTTCCCAAATTGTCCATTTTTCTGAGCGTCAATTAGAGGGAATTTACTGTACAGTAATTTCGCCCTAATTGACGTTCAGATTGTACAAAAAAGTAGACAGTTCGAGAAGACGAGATACCGATTGTCAACAACTATAAAAATGAATCGCAACACTCGAATAATCGTATCTCCTCTTCCCAAATTGTCCATTTTTCTGAGCGTCAATTAGAGGGAATTTACTGTACAGTAATTTCTCCCTAATTGACGCTCAGATTGTACAAAAAAGTAGACAGTTCGAGAAGACGAGATACCGATTGTCAACAACTATAAAAACGAATCGCAACACTCGAATAATCGTATCTCCTCTTCCGAAATTGTCCATTTTTGTGCAGAATCTCAGCATCAATTAGGGAGACACGTTAGCCGAATCACATGGATCCTTACCATTTTGCTCGAAGCGAAGATCCTTGTCACAGATCCTAGAAAAAGTTCTTGACAGCATCATGGTCCTTCGAATCGAATCGAATCGATCCTTAGTCCCATGCTCCAGAGATCCTCATCGCAGATCCAAGAAAAATTCTTTGTACATCTGCGTGGCGCAATGCCGGATGCGTCGACGGAAAATTTGATATTCAGATTGCGGATGTTTATGCATCGTATCCGATGTCGAACGTGAACGCATGAAATGAGACGGAATATGAAATACAATTAAAGTCAACATTGTACAGGTTGCAATGTTAAAATTGTTCAAGAACGAAATTCATTTCTGCTTTAGTTTGTGAATTACAAATGGAACTTCGTACTGAATCACGTTGTATTTACAATGTTCCAATTACTACACTGCCGGTACTCCATAAAACATAAATATAAATTGTAAAATGATGTATGCAAATACAGCTGAATCAAGTTACGTGTACGAAAATTTTGGGAAGTGAGGACAGGATATGTTCCGCAGGGTGAACGCTTAACGCGCGGGTTTTAGACGAATATCCTAAGAGAATATTGCTCCTAGTTTATGGTTTTAGTGAAATTAGCACCGAAGCTATGAAGCTTATCAGGTGAAATATTATCGAGATTACCTTAGATCAACGAAGCGTACTTACGTGGAGCGTGTATACGTTAATTACTGGCCACTTGGCATTGCCGTGTCATGTTTTCTCATTTTAAACGAGTGCATCGAAATGATACACGGTGTTTTATTTTTCAAGTCATTTTGCATGTGACTCGTTGTAGTCTGTGTTAGAGTAGTTGAAATTCATTCAAGACTGAAGCAAGCAAGACTGAATCAAAGAAAATGACAGAATCAAAAAATGTTGTTGGAGCAAAGAAAACATAATTGGTCGAATGCGTTTATGAAATATAGACTAATATTGTTTACGATCTTCATTAAGGATCTAAGAAATATTTCTACGAACATCATTTTCTCAAATAAAGATCATTGATTATATTTTACGAGACCCTGTGTTATAGAAACACATTTC